GAACTGCAGCTAATAAGAGAACTAAGANACAAGAGACTAGAACGACAAGCCCTAGAAAAACAAGGAAAAGGGTTTAAAATCATTGGATAAAAATGGCAAGCAAAAATTACAGATTGGATCCAATCTTTCAATTGTATGATCCGATTCAATATTCGTTCAACAAGAAGAAAGAGGATTACGTAATCATCTCACCATCGGTAGGGACAAAGACCCAAATAAACGACGGAGGAAGAGTTACCTTTGAAATTAATTCGTTGTCCAATTGGTTGCTGCTTTCCGATGCCCATTTCCGATGCGATTTCAAAATCAAAGACGCCGCTCGGAATTGAATTCCACAAACCAACACGACTTTAGAAAACTTCTTTCCGTCTTTATTCAGCGAAATGGTTTTGGAAGCTGGTTCAAATCCGATAGAGACCATAAAACACCCCGGAGAGTTTGACACAATGTTGAAAATGGTTCTGTATCCCAAAAACTACGATTCAGTTTCGGGATTGATTCCCGATGTCGGTGACGGAGAAGTTTTAAAAGAACCGGTCAGAATTGTAGCAAATGACGCAGACCTTGCTAGCATAAGGGTAGTTGCTAGAAACACGCTGGAAAGAGTGACTCGCAGAGTAAATCACGGATTTGAAAAACGAGCGCTTCAATACAACAATGTTGTCGAGAACAACAGATGGGGTAATTACGTTAATTGGAAATTGTATCCTTTATTTGGTCTCTTGGAACACAGAAAGGTTTCCATAGTTTTACCGTATAAAATTCATTTGCAAAGAGAAATCAACGACAACAAGATATTCTTTGGTGAAAACAACTCTGACGCAAAATTGGAAATAACGAATATCCAACTTCACATACCGGTAATCACTCCTTCCGTAGAAGTGGAAACGAGAATATTCAACTCTTTAACCAAAGACATCGAAATTTCTTTTCTTCGTCGTAACACGGTAGGTAGCATGACTTTAACGGGAGAATCCACCACGTGGCCAATCACCAACACCGTCAAACCAGTGAGATATCTAATGGTCGGTTTCAAAAACTTGCCAGACTCTCAGACACACAACAACAACATTTTCAGAGTGGCATTGAACCATACTCAAGATCCCATCATTCGCAAAGTTCAAGTCAGATTGAACAACGATAATTATCCCAATCAACCTTTGACAATTGATCCTTCCAAAAAAGATACAACGAATGTACAGAAACTATAAAAACATGTGCGAAATGTTTGGAAATACG